TGTCGCCGTTGCACGCGAGCTTGGCACGTTTGACTCGACAAAGGGTACACAGGGAAGATCGATCGGACCTTCTCATCTCCCCCCCAACTCCCTCGTGCAGGCTTGCATCCACCCGTTCGTACATCGCACTCCTCGCCGAGAGGCTATATAATTAGGGCGTGCGACACATACACACCATCAGGTCTCCGTGTAGCGGGTGGGTGTTGTGGTTACCAAGAGGAAGAATGATGGGGATGAGGGTGGATGCACAGTCGCGTAGGACCGAGCAGAGAGAGCCTTGCGGTCTGACCAAGCGCTGAATGTACTACTTGACGGGGCGCTGAGAGATTCCCCGGGAGCGAGGAGATCGATTTCGGGGTGTTGTATAGCACAGGTGGCGGTCTTGAATGCTCGATCGTTCCGATTTAATTTTACTTCATTAACAGAAACGAGAAAAGAAAGACCCAGGTCGGTCGATGATTATTGCCACTCGACGGTGGAAGCGACAAAAGAGCGAGTCCGAAGCCTTCGAGGGGTGTGCGGAGAAGGGTGGGTCGTGATGCGTGAATTTTCCAGAAACGAGAACGAACCAGCGAAAAAACGTATTGTGTACTGGTTGATCGGAGCGGTGGAGGACCAAAGTTATTGGTAAACTTCCCGGAAAGATAACCCGGGGAGCGCGCGTCCTCCTAACTCTCTCGTCCGACCGTATCTTGATACCCGCTACTTTTTTTTTCCCTTCTAGACTACAATGGAGTAACCTGCGCGTTTTCCGAATACGATATGCATGTTTTTTTTTTTTTTTTTTTTTTTTTTGGTCGTTCCCTTCCGGCGTTACGTTGTACCCGAAGCGCATTTATCTCTCCCAGCGTTGGCAGCCAAACAGGATAGAGCTTACGCGCGTCGAGCTGAGCTCAAATAATGGCACGGTGTGGTATCTACTTGTGTAAACGCACTTTATAACTAAAAAAACAACAAAAAAGGAAGAAAAAAAATGAAGATGAAGTACTAAATTTGTAGGTGGGTAAGAATTTCACGAATTTTCGGCGTATCGATTCGGATGGCGAGGAAACGCCGGGATGGAAATTCCCGTGTGATTACGGCGAGCGCATATCGATAGGTTTTAGAGATTTTCGACACGACGGAGACATTTGTTCCGTTGGATGTGGGGGATTATATTTGGAAAAAAACAGAGCACGAGTAGGGGGAGAGGGGCTCGTGTACGTGTCTGATGTATATGCATGGATGTGTAGATAGGGGGTTGGGGAAAAAGCCAAAAAATACGATGAATTTTTAGTCGGACTGTGAATATAAAACCGTGTTTTTTTTTTTTTAATTTTTGAGCTTCCTTTGTTTCTTTCCACAAACGCTAATTGGTGGTTCACCGAGGTGCGAGGAGCGTTAGGTTTTTTTCTTTCACCCACTCATCCTAGTTTTTTCTTCTTCCTTTTTTTTTTTTTTTTTTTTAATTTACAGGAAGAATTTTTTGATTTTTTATTGTTATTATTATTATTTTTATGAAAAAACTGCGTACGCGTGCACGATAGTATTAAAGAGAGAAAAACTTGAGCTCTTGAATATATCAACCAGTCGCATACGAGAAAATAGATTTCACGACTACCACGGCATGCGTAGCACAAAAGCAATAGTATCCTATTGATGCTTCCTTATTTTATCAACTGACAAAACAACACTAAATGGTGCAGAATTTATTATTTTGCCATTGTGGTTGTATCTGTTTTGTAGTTGATTTTTTTTCTGCAAAATAGGTCTTGACAAATTTACTCGTCTGTAGCAAACAAATTTTACAAGCCGATTTTTTTTTTCTCACTCGGGTCGAAGAGAAGGTACTACAGCTATTTTTTTTGCCACACGAGGGACGATCAATTTCAATTTTGCGCTCGGACTTCCTGGCGTAACTACGTAGCGTGACTTGGAAACCCGTTGTTGCGGATTTGTGGCTCGTTTCACTAAAATCCACGTAAAACAAAAAAAAAAAAAAAAAAAAATCACCCACGGCGAGAAATTGTTTTTGATCGATCTCGGCTCATTATTTTTACCATACAAATTCCTGCTTCTGTCCTTTTGTGGTAACTACTCCTTTTTTTTTTTTTTTTTTTTTTGTTTGCCGACCGACCAAATTAGGCGACCATCAGTTTGAGAATAAATAAATTTTATGTCACGGATAAAACACAATCCTCGTTTCATCAAACGAGTCGTGTTTCATTGGGCATTTTACGATCGCAACCAAAGAGTCACATCGGAGAGCCACAAAAGTAGGAAAGCCAGCCAATCCTTTCGGTTTATTGATAAGTATCGGGCCAATAAAAGAAAATTGATTTTTCCTTCCTGTTTGTGCACTCGCGTGATACCAATACGTGGTCACAATACACACACGCTCACTGGACAAAAGAAGAAAAAAAAAAAAAAAAAAAAAAGAGGCAGGAAAGAAGGCACTTGCAATAAAGATTGACGAACAAAAAGCTCTCTCCCTCTCGTGCTACCCTCTCGTTGCGCACGTATAGTGCATTTATATATACATGTATACCCACCCACCCATGTACACGTATAAATACACGGAAATATACTTTCGATGCCTGCATTCGGCTGATCGATACGCGGGTGACACGTCCCCCCTTACTCGTATACATCTGCACATGGAGTGAGAGAGAGAGAGACACGTACGCGCCAGTCAGCCCAAGCGCAGTGCAGTTTAATACAGTTGGATTAATCCGAAGGCCACCCCTCATCCTTCGGCCCTTTTTTTTTTTTTTTTTTCTTCTTTCGTTCCGTGCCAAATGTTACATCATCCTTTGATTTAAATATTTGCAATGTCATGAGACAAAGAGCTGCGCCCCAGTGGCTCGCGTACACGTCTGGCTGTGTGTGACTGTTTTTCACAGTCGAGGGGCTACGAGCCACCCGTCTACCCCCTTTTTGTTTGTCGCAGCGGACTCGCGATTGAATTTCCTGGGTAGAGTGGCCGATCGCCCGCCCCCCCCCACCGCGTCTTTATCTTTTTTCTCGCGGTGCGAGAAACTTTGCCACTTTTCCGAAATTTCAACTTTTAAGGAAGTTCGGGGACTCCCCCTCGTGCTCTTCTTTTTCTTCGGGGTAGCGAGTCTCTCTTGGCTTGTTATATATCTCTTCTCGCCTGACAAACAGTCGGGATTTTTGTGCGATTTCGACTCGATGCGGAAAGCGACAGTTTCTTTTTTTTTAATTTTTCCTCCAACGTGGACAGTTTCGAGTACTCGAGCGAAAGGAACAGTTTTTCGATTTTTCATTTTTTTTCTACCGGCTGCTTGTGATATTTTCTCACAAGAGCCAGTTGTCCACCTATGGTCCTTTCGCCTGATGGAAATTACCGTTGACTGGTACACGTGACCTCTCCTTACATTATTTTTTACTTTAATTTAGTAAAAACCTTGATATTCTTGGTAGTTACATATTTTTTTATTTTTTTATTTTTTTTTGTATGTGTTTCAACGATATTCCAAAAGATAACAAAGGGGACAATCATTCTCGATCCTAATAACGTTCAGTTTCATAAAAAACAAAAAACCTCAACATTATACACTTCTTTTTTTTTTTTTTTTTTTTTTACTAACAATCTACTATGTTGAAGCGTAAATAATTGTCACTATATTTCCCTCGCATTGGTAGCGCGTACTCTCGCTTCGTTGAAAAGAGCCTCTGCATCAAGCTCGCGTGTACACGCCGCCTATTAAAGTTCAACGCGACGGAAAAAGCCTCGTTGCTCGAGGGAAAAAAAAAAAAAAAAGTCAACGAGTTAATCAGCTTGGCTCCTCTCCGACGTCGAATTTCACGTTAGACTGCAAACTCACGGGCTCGAAGGGGACTTTAGAAGCCAGCTCTTTCACGCGCCTCTGGCCCCTTTGGCCCGACAAGTCCATTCCAGTGAACGAAACGCGACTTTTACAAAGTTTCCTCATTTCCTTCGTCATCCCGATGGAAAAAAAGGAAGGGAGGAACATCGATGGCTATACCATTGACGAGAAAAAAGGGGAATCACCTCCAAGTTTTCCCAGCTCTAATTAAAATAACCGTGCAATTATCATACGCCCCCCTCCTCCCCCTCGGGATCAAAGTTCGGAATTTTCATTTTCCCTCCCGAAACTCGAGCAAACTCCGACACGGCTCTCCACCCGAAAATCAATTTGCCATCCACGACGAACCAACTCCCGGCACGATGATGATGATGCATTATTCCAAAGGGCCGAAGATTCCTCTGTTCTCTCTCTCTCTCTCTTGTCGCGAGTTTTCTTCCACCCATTGTCAAGCCCGTCTTTCTCCTTTCGGCTGAATAATCCACGCTCCCCATCGGCACTTGCATCGTTATATACATTGTCCAAAGTATTGTTCCGTTCCCTGAAATATTAACGAAGCCCGCGCAACAATTGAAAACAAAGTTTTTCCTCCGCGAGTAATGTCCCTCGCTGCAAAATTAAATCGTCTCGACGCCTTTGCGCGAAGGTCGAAACTCTAAAGAAACTGTATAGACTCATCTCCACGCCTACTCGGTGACAGTAGTACAACCTTAGCTATGGTCAGCCTGCAAGAGCCCACTGTATTAATATATATATATA